TTGACAAATAACCGCATTTCATTCATTTTTTCTTTTTTTGGCATCAACGTACCATTCGATTATTCCATTTGATGATTCGAATAAGGGAGAAATCAAAATTCATCGCGAGAAATTACATCGTGAGAAATTACATCGTATTTTTTGCACAAGTGTGACGAGAATAAAACTGTGGTTGCTTCTCCATTACACAATGACGCGTCCAAGAATGGTATGTATGCTTAAATACATTTTTCTAGATCTTTAATAACGATCTATCTATGTCCAAAGACGGAAAAAGAACAATACGTACAACAGTGTCATTTTTTTTAGGTTTTCTGTTTTGAAGTTAATTAACTACAAGGTAGGTAGATAGTAGTAGATAGATAGATAAATAAACAAACAGATGAGATAGGGTGGATGGAGAAATACTGGTTTTTGTGGTCGTACACGCTTGCAATAATGATGTGATGTGATGTTATGTGTATACTACGAAACGCTCTTGAGACTGATACACACACTCTCTTCTTTGCCTTTTTTCTTTTTCTTTCTTCGTTCGTTAGGCGTCGAATGATCGAGCTTTAATTTTCGTTGTTTAATTTTAACCCATTATTCTCCAAATAAATATTCAAGTAAGCATATAAGTAAATAAATAAATAGGTAACAATAGCAACTTTATTTTGTGCGATCCAGAAGATGCATGTATGATGTATCATCGCAAAAACCAAAAAACGTAGATTTTCAAAAAGTATTATTCTTCATCCTTTATCTCTGCCTAGCATTTCCTGTTTCATTCGTGCATTCGTTGCACATTTTTCCGGATTTAACAAGATGACGATTAATCAGAGCGCGGATGATATGAAAACATCCAAACTTTAAAAAACTCTAAAACTCGGATGCTGCTTGCTGAATAATAACAATAACGCATCCCAGCAAATAAAGTTTTTTTTCGTCTTTCTCAATCATCCATCTACTTACGTACATGATGTGCTTAAAGACTAGCATCTTCACGTCATTATACCTAAAAACAGTAGGAATCGCACCATGATAGCTAGAAAATTTTTTAAGTTGGATAATCCAAGAATAAAAAAAAACCGAATTTTTGGCTTTCATTCATCGATTATTGGTTATAATAATAAAGACCCGCAGTATTTTTCCTTATCGAGGATAAAATATGATCATACGCAGAGTTCGGTTATTAATTAAATGGTTACTTGTTGTCGTATCGGATCATTGAGCGTTATTGTTTCAAGAAATAGCAATATAATACGATTTGATGCCTGGGGTGCAGAATGGATGTCATAATATCACTTATCGTGAAACAAACCTCGTGACTAAATGCACATGGAAAAATTCATCCAATGAAATCATCCTCTAAAATTTTAGAGATTTTTTAACCGTCATTTTTACTAGTTGTAATGGTGCATAAGAAAGACAGCGAAACATATGGCACGAAGGTGAAGGTGTCGAATCTCAAGAATATGATTTATTGTACCAGAGATGGATAATGGGACGACTATGGTTGAATGACGTGTTGGATTCCTTAGAGAACACTTGAAAAAATAATGGCGAGGAAGAAGGTGAAAATTTTTGCATTCATGCGGAAATTCTTTTGTTGGTTTCCCATACATTACATTGTGAAGAATTCGCCAATCGCAATGCTCGTACACGCTCATACCGTGCGAAAAAAAGGGACTATTATTTTATTATGATTGTTAGCGAGAGACGGTTAGGTCTGGGTACTATTATACAATCAATTATTATCAAATGGTTCGACAGACTGTGCGAGGTGATAATAATGGTATCTTTGTCCCAATACACATAACGTACATACGCGCATATACACAGAGAGCAAGTGAGAGAAAAAAAGGAGAGAAAAGATATATAGAAAGCGAGGATGTAATAGAATGCATGCATTTATTGATTATACCTCAATAGTAAAGACAATTATACATTATAAACTAATATACATTATAAACTAATAAGAATAAGAATAAAAATAATAGTATCATACTCACAATAATCACAATGATGATAATAATCATAATACAGTATGTATAACTTATCGTCGTTTGATTGATTCAAAAAAAAACAGGAGAAATCCTACGCGAACATTATACTGTATATGCTATATATGCATAATGCATATGATGCACATATATATCGACAATTATGTTGCCAAAAGATCTGCGAAATCTTTTTTATTTTGGTTTTTTGAGGTCATTTTGTTTTGTTTTCTTAAGCTTGTTCTGAAACTAATGCGAGCATTAATAATCTTGAATGTTTTGTCAATTCTAAAAAATCAATTCCAATGCTGATGCTAACCTTGATACTAATGCTTAACGCTAATACTGATGCTCAATGTTGATACTAAGGATACTCCTATCTTTCGATTGTATTCTCGCGCGCTCCTTTAACGAGTAGCTGACCGTAAGAAAGTGATCTTTTCTGTAAAAAACCACACTAATAAAAGCCAAAAGAAGCACTTGATGCTCGTTTTTTTTTTTAAAAAAAAAATTTCATGCGTATATACACGTACATATCCACATTGCTTTTCACACACACACACACACACACACACACACACACACACACGCACGCACGCATATCTCGGTAAAAAAATCTGTGTAAAATATAGACGCGTTTTAATTTTCTTATCCATTTCGAGATGGATGAAGTTTTTCTCTTGTTGACTCTATCCGACTTCATCCATCTCTATCTAACCATCAAGATAAGCTTAGGTGAAAAGTTTAAAACAGGGTTACGATGGGAGGCCAAACTAGGTAAGGGAAATGGGGTTCTTTCATAAAAATAACGCGTCGTCGCGTGTTCGAAATGGTAAGCTTAGATTCTACCCGAATTTTCATCTTTTTTTAATACACCCACTTCATAACGACTAATATACTGAGCGAATATACAGCTATGCAGACAATAAGAAAAGCCATCTATTGAATGTATTCATAAATAAATAAATAGATAAACAAGTGGATGAAACGTCTTTCTAATTTACCAATAGATGATAACTTGCTCACATTATGTCTGCCTCATCAATCATATCAATCTATCCTTTTCCTGTATCTATTATAATTACTAATTTATTGCCTCATCATTCATTATCGATCTTTATTGTGATTACGGTTTGATTTATGATAGGTCAATGGGTCAGAACTTTGACAGAGGGAAACGATATGAAGAAGATAACGGACTGTTTACACATGCACATCTGTATCATGTATCTTTCTCCTCGGTCATCTCACTCTATTTCTGTCTAGATTCTATTCAATGACCAAAAATAATCGTTTCATATCTACCAAAACCGAAACATCCAATTTCATACCAATCAATCAGATCGCACTTCAAACACAATGCTTTTGCTTGAATTTTTACTAGTTACGTATTAATTAGTGAAAATTCGGTAAACTCGATTGTTTTTGCTTATAAAATCGGACCAGATTTTTGGACGAAGGATGACATAAATTTTCGAAAAAGAATGAAATAAACCAGTTCTAGGTAATTCTTACTAGACCTTACTCATTACTAATCACATAATCCGCATACTATTTATTTTGGATTAATGGTAACCTAGGAAATTCCATATTAAACCGATTTGCCGCAATTTTGGTATTACTGTGCTGTCAATAAACATAAAATAACTATAAAAACGGTGCGCTCGCAGCAGCTTTCAGTGCATATTCGTCATTAAAAAAAAAGCCGACATGGCTAAGGGTGACAATTAGAGACTAAATTATCACATACTTTAAATTTAATATATTGTTATTATTATAGTGCGCTTTTGTATATATACAATCATCACTCGCATTACAATAGTGGAATGAAAATGATATATAAACACCAGATATTGGGAAAAAGTTGATAACAGGGTCATTACAATTATTCTATTGTCTCTCTTTCTTACTAGATACCAAAAAAAATAATATAACAATAAACTAATAATAATATTGACAATATATATATTACTGATTATATTTAGATTTTCCAAAATGAAATATTCATTGTACATACATAAATATTGTATTTTCATATTTATAATGTTCAGTATTCAATATTCTTCTTCGTAAGAAGAAGAATATAATCTTGGATTAAATGAATATACGCAGCCCGTGGAATTTTTTTTTTGTTTTATCGTAGTCATACTTTGTTCTTCTTCGGTGTACTTTAATATATACAGGCGAATTCATCTTTGTGTATGGCAAAAATAAATAAATAAATAAATAGAGTACTTTAATTTATTAATGTTAATCAGAACCAATAATATATAATGACAACCTTATAATAGTATCTACAAATATATATCTCTTATTGTAAAATTATTAAATATTATTCTAATATAATATAAATAGGGAACGTATTATTTTTTTGCAAAACCGATTTAATTTTTATATTTATATTGTATATATACTCGTGTCAACATTAATATCGATAAAAATAAAAATACCACACACTTCCGACAAATTTTTTTGACACGTCCACGACAATTTTTTTTCTTTTTTGGTATTTGTCGCTAGTTGTCTTAGCAATAGAAAACACACATAGTAGCCTAACTAACTGGAACTAAACTTTTTCGTCTTGTATATAAAGTAATTAATCGCTTATTTATTATCGCCACTCGGATTGATCACTTCCAACTACCAGGAGAAGAAATCATTCCCATTCAAAAGACTCAAAGTTAAACGTATTGAATGAGAGAAAGTCATAACTCGACTTTTTTGACGGTAAACTATCTTTTCGTTTTCAACTTTTGATTCTTCGTGATATTCATTTATGCTTATCGTTGTTTGTTTGTTTTACTTCGATACTCGTCTTCCGCCAACTTTCCGTGACCTGCTCGTTTATTCTTCTCGTTTTTCTTTTTCGTTATTTCACACGTTCTGCCTGAATCATATATTATTCTTCCGACTCGACTTCGTCCCTTGTATCTCTTTCCCCGTGTACACCCTTTCTCGTCTCTCCTTGCCCTCTCTCCTCCCGAATCACAAACTTTTGTCAAATGTAGTCCATAAAAAATGCCACCACCTGGACGTTCTAGGTTTAAAGAATCAACCAAGGAAAAATTGAGTCAAGGCAGAACGGTAATTATCATCCCCTTTGTTTGTCACGTGAATTTCATTTCGATCCTTGTCGAGTTTCGCTCGCTCTATGACCCACAAAAACATCTATATATATACTCTTGAGTTCACTTGGATCGGTTTTTTCTTTCTATTATCTCAAGAGTGGAGCAAGCAATCCCACAAGAATAAATAAATGAAACGGTGATATGGCAAGAAAGAAGAAAAATAGTGCTGGGATGTAGACAAACAAACAACAACAACAAAAAAGCGTGGTAAAATTGATATGCGAAACGCGATGATGATGATGATGATTATTTACTTTATTATTATTCCATGTGCATTTATTTATTAACACTAATTAAAATTTTTCTCTTCTGATAAATTAATTAAAATACTAAAAGAGCGCGTCTGTCTCGAAACCCACTAATACCACAATAACTACTAGCACTCGCGCTCACACTCCCATGGCCAACAGCAATAGCAGAAAAAATGGTGCTATGGCTATAAAGGTAATTAAAATTCACCGTTCAGAGTAAATAATAATGCATGATCCACGTGGTCTGCATGAAATTCTGGTTGGTCGAGACACAAAGACTACAATAATAACAACAACAAGAACGAAAAACAAGAAAAAATTTTTCTGAAAATGATTTCTTTTTTATTGCAAACAATATTCTTTAATTCTCTTTTGTCTCATTTGCATGTATGCAAATGTGTGCTCGATCCTTAATAATAATAATAATAACAATAATAATAATAACAAAAAAATAATTATTGACATGTAGGAACATCCTTTACTTCGGGGCTCTTCCTCAAAGTCCACGGTAGCAACGAGTAATAGTAAGACGACAGCTACCTCAAATAAAAAGGTAAAATTATTAATTTTTTTGTTATTGTTGTGATATTTTCTATACCCCACATTACTTAAAAAAAAATTAAGCTATAAATATCCTGTGAAAGTGTGTGATCGTCATCATCAATAATTAAACTTAAATTTTTTCCTTAAACTCGACCAGGTTTCTAGTACTCATCGTCCGACAACTCCTTCAGGCAAGAATTTTGTTGAAATAAACAAACAAACTGCTGGCACTAAATCACCACCACCAACGCCTCGAGTTGTCCCACGTACACCTTCACCTGACACATGTCCGTCGCCAACTAAGAAGAAACCAGCTACCACTCATGCTGATTTCTCAAAACCTAATGCTAGTTGCGCTGCAATGAACCGCCCTTCCAATAGCAGCACTGCTACGCCGTCCTCTCCACTTGAATCTGCTCTATTTTAAGAGAACAAGAAACTCAAAATATTCTTGGCTGATCGTGCTCAAGAACTACATGAAGCTGAGGTTGAGATTCAAGAATGTGAAGAAGTTATCTTGGCTTTACAGGAACGTGTTCGTCAAGTTGAAGCTCGTAACCGTGAATTGCAATCTGAAAACGACATACTATCCGCTAAAGTCTTTGAACATGAGTCGCAAAAATCGCCTACCAGTATTCTGTCGGCAATCATGAATAATACTCAGCGCATTCGTGGCGAAGAGAACACTGTTAAAGTTGCTCCCGCTCCAATTGTTCCCGCCCCAAACGTCACGACTCCTATCTTGTCTACCGCTAATGTAATAATGCCCAAACAAACTCCTCAACCATCGGTATTATCCACTCTGGTTACTCCAATTGCTAATGCTAAAGTTAATAATCCCTTGACTCCCACTCCTGTTTCTGATAATGGCTCCATCCAACGATTTTCTTCACCAATCGAATCCAAACCTCTTGCTCAACCTCTGTATAATAACTCATCTTCGGCTGCTCCTCTCATTACTCAATCGCGCATTCAACCGACTAAAATGGAATCTCCACTAAAACCTGAAACGTTGGACCGTCAAGCTCTTAAAGCAAAAGCTGCTGCTGCTGCTGCTTTAAGCGCGATTATGGAAGAAACCGATGATAGTGATGACGAGTTTTCATTCAACGATGATAAAAACGAGTATGACCAAAACGTTTTCTCTGGCAATGGAATTCACTCATCTGTCTCATCTTTTGACGAGGATAATTCTGATGAAGAGACTCATGACAACGATGAACTACCCAATACTCCGTTTAATGGTAACTCTATAATGGCTAACCCCGCTCGTAATGAAAAATTCTCACTATCCGAGGACATCAAAATCTGGAAATCCAATAATTCGACTAATAAGCTTAACGATTTGAATGTGATTATGGAAGAGGATGAGGAAGAGGAGGATGAAGATGAAGATGATGAATTTGAACTTCCTCCTAATGCTCTTAATCATCCCAAACAACATCTCGCTCAAATCTCTTCTGTTGCAATGAACTCTTCAATCGATCAACCCAAATCGTCTTTTCCAGTGCAAAAAGTAAAACCAGTCATCAAAATCACTCACGACAAGGCCAACTTTTCTGATTCTCCCTCTCTTGAAATTAACCCAAAACAACTTGCTGATTCGGACAACTCTTCTGAACAATCCCTTAATGTCGATTCTCATAAAATCTCAAATATTGGTGGTAAATCTTCTTTCGGTAATAACCCTTTAAACTCTAACTCTAATCCAAAACCGGTCACTTCTAATCATCTTGCGGACTTTCAACAATTGGTTAACGGCAATGAACAACCCATTCAATCCTCCTCATTGGTCACTAAACTCGCCTTAGAAAAATCGTCTCAAGATTATTTTTCTTATTCTCATGAATCTACTGTTAATCCAGTTCATCGTGAATCTTTCTCTTCTGTTAAATCAGATGAATCTGATATGTGGTCAACTCCTTCGGCATCTTCCTCTCATCATGAATACTATTCCTCATCGGCAACATCTCGCTCTACTACTCGTACCACTCAATCTACAAACTCTATCTCTGCTTTTGGTTCACCCTCTCAACGATCTCTCCATTATAACACTAATGAAGATGAAAACAACTCTTCTCACCCATCTTTGGCTGCCTCTTATACGGACAATCCTCTTCCATTCAACCCAACTAATGAATTCTTTTACTACTCTCAAAACCGTGTGGCTCAAAATGATTCGGCTAATCCACAACAACAAAATAATTCGGAACAATTGGTCTTAAACTCGGAAAACTCAAATCTCTCTTCTACTGCTGGTCTTAACTCTAACGGATGCTCCATTTCTGAAAGATCCCAATCTCAACAATCATTCTCTTCTACTTCTGATATCCAATCTTCGGTTGCCTCTTCTGAAAATTCAACTACTCCAACCCCAGTTAATGATCGCCCATCAACTCCCAAAAAATTGCTTAATCAATCATCTGCTAAAAAATCATCTCAATCATCCAATCGCAGTATGGCCTGTTCTAATGACTCTTCTCGTCCCTCAACATCGCAAGCTCATTATCGCCTTTTGTCTCCAACATCGGTATCTCCAGCTCGTCCTCGTAATCCAACTCCATTGACTTCATCATCTTCAACTGAATCTTTGAATAATTTTGCTAACTCCACTGATAACACATCATCGGCTACTCCACTATCTTCTTTATCCAAATCGTCATCTTCTCAAAATTCTACACCGGCTTTTAACTCTAATCGATCTGCTCCATTAGTCCAAGACGAAACTCAATCCACTGATAATACATTTAGTCCTCCAACTCCTCCAGATACTAATGATTCAATGGCTGTATTCAAACATTACCTACGTCTCTTGTCGGAAACCTGCTCTCGGAATAGTCCATTAAACCACTACGAACTCCAAAAATATATTGATGAAGGATCTTCGGCTAAAGTCTATGCTGCAACTTCTCGGGACACTCGAGAGGAATTGGCCATCAAAGTTATCCCATTGACTTATTCTCTTGAATTCATCTTTAACGAAATTTATGTCCTAAAAAATCTCAAACACAAAAACGTCGTCGGTTATAAGGAAAGCTTCTTGCGTTGGGACGGAAAAACGCGTGAAATTTGGACCGTAATGGAAAAATGTTCCCGTGGTGATGTAACAAGCCGCGCTGGAAATATCTCTCAAAAGGAAGTAGCTCGTATTGCACGTGATATCTTGAATGGATTGAAACATGTACACGAAACAGGTATTATTCATCGTGACATTAAACTCGAAAACATTTTGATGGCAGCAAACAATGATGTTAAAATCGGTGAGTTTTTAAATATATTCAAATTTATTCTTATTTAAATATTATATACTAAGACTTTATTAATTTGATTATTTAGCTGATTTTGGTGTATGCTCATTAACACCAACTTCTACTACTGGAATGGTCGGAACAATTCCTTATATGGCTCCCGATGTGGTAAACGTCAACGAAAATAATCCCTACTCAACCAAGGCAGATATCTGGTCGTTAGGAATCTGTATTCTCGAATTGCTAACCGGAAAGGCAGCATGGGGACGCCTCAACGATACCGAAATTTTCAGTATGCTCAAACGTGGTGAAAAACCACCAACTTTCGGTCGTTTGCGCAAAAAGGCCGATATTGGATGGGAAGCTGTAGACTTCTTGGAAAGATGCTTCGTAAAAAACAGCGAGCTCAGATGCTCTGCAGAAGAATTACTACAGGTTTGTACCTCGACTCATTCAATCACCATCATATTGCTTAATTTACTATTCATTTACTAATTGATGATCAACCTTTTTTCAATATAGCATCCATTCATTACCAGCCTTCTTGCCTAGTTAATGTAGAACAACAATAGGCGCGAAAAAGAAATAAAATTCATTGATATTTATTTATTAATCATAATATTCTAATAATAATATAATAATTCATCATTATATATATATATATTACCTAATATATATAACATCTAATATTTAATATAATTTAATTTAATATTTATTATTTTTTAGCATCTTTCAACATGTAAATATCAGCATCATCATCTTTCATCTTCATGAATTCCAAAAGTATCTATAATATTTTATTTAATATTATATATGGGAATATAAAATTTTTATAAATCCCAACAAAAATGGCCCATTATACTAATATTTACTAATACTAATGCTAATACTAATTAAATGCTAATTCTAGTTCTAGTAATAAGAATATCAATTACGTTAAAATGACATAACGATAATTGATCCATACCCCAGATCAACCCCCTCTGGGGAATGATACGAGTTTGTTGTGTATCTTGTGTTCACTCAAAATAGAGACACATACACAGACACAAGCACATGTAATAAAGTGATTTCGTCGATTTTTTTATAAACATGCTAGGATTGAACAATTCGCTGGTAAATCGCCATTGTCCGTTTTTGTCACGGCATGTTTTCGGAAAACGAATTCCTAAGGTAGCAATTCATACAGGCATACAGGTTTTTTTCCGTTCCTGGAAAATTACCATTACAAATGAAATCATTCATTCACTCACGTCAAAATCTTTGTAATGTGCAGATTTAGTAAATAATGGAACTAAAGATAACCATAAACTTAGTAATACTTCGCTTAGTAATACTTTGATAAATGAGAAACCGTAAACCTAAGCCACATTTACATAGTTGGGTTACTCCGTAAATGTGGCTTAAAAAATTAGTTTAGGTGTTAAATTCCTAATTATAGCATCTTGTATTAGGTCAAAGAATAACTATATTTAAATTGTTTGTTGTTTGTTTGTTTGTTTATTTCCTGTGGCATACATGTTGTCGTGAATTACCAAATTACCATGTATTACATTAACAATGGAAAGTTGCGTGATATCCTAATTAATTTAGGGATAGTAATGGTAATGACGTAAAATGTGGAAATTAAATGCACATGTTAGGAAATTGACACTAAATTGTCACTTCATAAATTAAACTTAATAAATATCCGAGATTTTATGAAACGGTTTTCCCTGATTTTCTTATCATATATATCGCTAGGATTTAATCGAAGGGACAAGTGGATATAACGCTAACCAAAATAATCCATCTCAACGATGCATACATAATATCCATTTTGAGATTTATCATATATTAAATGCTTCTACCTCAATGGAGACACAATAGGTTGTATACTAATGAATGTACATTTCACATGTTTTTTTTTACATTAGCATTAGGTTTAAAAATCCTTGCTTACGTGTGTGGATTTTCATTGTCTTAATGAAAACTACCTGTAAGGAGAAAACACTTACATCAATCACAAGAGAAATACCTGTCTGCATTGAACTAACATAATCAAAGGAGAAAGCAAATGGATCCTATCGTCGTTCTGTTTCTTAAGCGTAATCGTAATGAAATCTCATAATAATCTTTGCATATCCTATTGTTCTTCTTGACCATTTTCACAAACCCATACATGTTTTCCGTTACATAACGATTGTGACTGTCTTGTGAGCGGAAAGCGCGTGTTAATAAGCGTGAAATTCAATATGAAAAAAACACAGGAAATTTGATATCAATCTCAATATCAATGTCAATATAGTGGTAAGATAATGATTTTATATTATCTATTATTAATATTTGAACGAACCATTTGAATGTAAGATGCAAAAGATCAAACAGTAAAAATGCTAATGAGTGAATGCCATTTGATAACTAGAATATGTATTCTATACTAAAAATAATGTGCGATATCCGCAGCCGTGATCATGTACTTTTTTATTACTAGCATTTATTCATGTGTTTTACTTGTTCGATAGTTATATATAATTGGAAATTTTTATAAATCCTTAAAAAGAAATTTTCTCATTCTTACCATTGTTTACTTTTTAGTATCTCGATACAAAATAAAGTAATAGATAAAGAATTCATTAGTATAAATGTTATTAATACATCAATATGCATAATCCATGTAAGAAATAAATAAAACGATCGATACATACGCGTCGTCTCAGTGACTAACATTTATTTCCGAAAATTCATAAAGTTCAGTGATAATGAATGCGCTGTTAGTTTCGGTTTTCTGTCACCGAAACTTTATTGTCTGTAGAATTTTACAATGACTGCGACAAAGACGACCAAACCAAGAAAGTGGAAGAAAGGAATTCCTGTTGCTTGCTTTTTACTGCCGCCGTTCTTGTTGTCAGCGCTGAAAAATGTTCGGGATTATTGTCTACTAAAAAAAGGTTGATAAAGAAATCTATAGAGAAAACAAAACAGGGAAAGAGAGCAACAACACATTGAATTGCATCATTAGCACGTATGTAACGTTGTTTTTGTGCTTTACGTTGGTGTTTTGTTATTGGCGAAAATTCTGCTTCATTTTGGTTTGCTTCTAATTTTACGCCATCGTTTGTTTCTTTCCTTTTTCTACTTTTCTTCAACGCCAAATATGACGAATATGAGTCTCTCCAAACCTCTCACACACAGAAACAAACGATCACCAGGATGAATATTGAGATATCGCAAATTTGGGGCGAATGGGCGAATTGGAAATGCATGATGCAGTAGCGGCATTGTCATCATTACATTTATTTATAGAAGTTCAGGCATGCATATTTATTAACTGCTAAAGAATTGACAGAATGACAAAGCGAATTAGAAGTTCATGATGTTTCTATTTAGATTCCGTGAGTAAATAAACTTAGCCAAAATCCATTGAGAACGCCGTTTATTCCTTTCGTAAACTCGTCCGCCTCGTCCTCGTTAGGTAAATCCCGTTTTCCTTTTCCGTTTGAACCATTTATGTGAGTGTACTATATATCCCCGTCATTAATCTATTTATGTGAAAACCCGCCAAATGGCAAGAAGGGATATCGAACTTTGTTATTAATGCAAGCTTTAGGCGTGATACTTGCACTATTTGAAAGTCTTTTTGTTATTGTATTCAAGGAGAAACAGTTGTAATACATAATTGAGAAGTAACTTGTGTATTAAGAACATAAAGAGAGTTACGTTGCATAAGGTACACACGATGGATGCGAATTAGATAAAAATTTAAACCGTATTTTTTATATTTTTTTTAAATTTCTATATTTGTAAATATTACGATAATGTTAATTCATCAGACACACAGATTCACACATTTCTTTTTCTCGCCTATTATTAATTTTTTGATTGCCTTGCTTTACATAAAGTTTTTTTTTCTTTATGAGAATGCATTCAAAATAAAATACAATCAGAAATAGTTTAATTTTTTTTTAAGAGAGCCCGCAATTGAAGTATTTGCAAATATAATTTATTTGGGAGATTTTAACATTTGAAATCGTATCATTTTTACGTAAGCATACGATGCAGAATCCGATTAAACTTTTGTAAAATCGGGTGTCTGCATACAATATAAAAAAATTGCAACTGAAATCTTTATTTTGCTAATCGGATTAACTGATCAATTGAAAATACAAAAATATCTAATCAATAATCAATTGCTTTCTCTAAACCATTGATCTATTTTCGTTCCTTTTGTTTTCCTTGAATAGCCTTCATTCAAGTATTTGCAACGCATAAGTTTACATCTGATTAATCGTGGCTCTCGGTTTATCCGTGTTTTCGCTAAAGAGCAGCGACATACTTGACATACTTTTCCCAATCCAATTCTTACACACACACACACACCTGAATAATCTACAATGCACAGACGAAAAAAACAAACCTCTCATCCCATCACATTATTGGTGGTGATTCGCGCATGTATGGATTATGTGGTAGAGAAGGAGTTGAGACACATTAGTTCAGTATGAAAAATGCGCCAATTAGCAAAACAAAATAAAAACATCAGCAATAGAAGAATAAAGATTTGGGGTTTGTAATACCACGAGAAAGAGAGCAAGTGTTTGGTATTTTAAAGATGGGAAAAAAGAGAGGGTCTAGACATTAATAGCACAGATTCAAAAGATCAAAAATGGGTGTGATGGATAAGAAAAATATGAAATTTATTTTGCGCGCCGAATTTAATCAGATTTTCGTCTTAGATGTAACATCAAGGGAAAATTTCAGACTGTAATACACGCATATGTTCAAAATCTGAAATACATATGTATAATAAAATATTTTATTCACGATTTAAATGAATCTCAGTATCCTGTTTCTCACAGGTTTTTTTCTGCATAATGCAATGTTCCCGTATTTTCATCCTGCTGCACACTCTAACACACACACACACACATTAGTATGCAACAATGCACACAATTACTCCTTTTTGCATGATGCTCATAATCATAATCATAATCATAATATCAGCATCAACTTTCTTGCTGGTTATTTATTTACTATTTTTTAGTTATTATTCCTTAGTTTTATTTACTGTTCGGCTATTGTGCAAAATTCCATTGTTCAATTGGTATCATAATAATAATAAAGTTTCAGGCGCGTCATGTGGATCGGGTTTTCATATGGGTGAGTCGGGGTTGAAGGAATTGGTGTTGGTGTTATTTATCGAGAAAGAAAGGAGTTTGTTAGTAAGTAAGCGCGCAAGTAGCACACAAACAATAACAACAACAACAAGTGTGTATCGTGAACATACAATGTATCACATTCATTCACATTCTTTCACAGAAAGAAAGCAAGCGAGTGAGTGAAAGCGAGAAAAGAAAGGGAAGACCGAAAGAAAGACTAATTCTTGTTTTTTATCTTTTTAGAGTTGAAGGATAATAAATAAATGAGTAAAGAAGAAAATTATTCTTCCAATAACAGGAAACAATCGGGTTTTTATGTTCTTTAAAGCGGGCATGTATTTTTCAAACTTTAATAGAGTTTGTGCGACTAAATAAAGTCTCATAGCACTAGTAGGTCTTGAAGAAACTAGCACTATTATAATAGGTAACTGTTAAAACCCATGTAAGCATGTGTGGTTGCTGAAGTAATTGATCTATAACTTCAGGGGTTTCTCAGGAACTCCTATACTGCAGGCAATTCACTGAAAAATTATACCTAATGACATATACATGCAACTGTGTTGATAACGATAGGCTAATTCGTATCTCCTATAGTCAATATTATTTTAGTATTTATTAAACACCTAAATGTCAAATAATTCCTCTCCCTTTTTCTTATATGATGCACCCCGAAATATATCGGGTTTAATTACGTTTAATATATTATATGGCTATTTCCACGTTTTTACCTCCTGCTTGAACTTTATTATAAAAGAGTAATAATCTACTACAAACTTATCTCAATGCACCATTAAATTGACAATGATGTCAGTTCGAGAATTCATCTTTTCATGATCAATATTTATTCTCTCCTTATTACTATCACCCCTTTATTCCAAATTTTCTGTTAAACAATGACATCATCACGTGTAATGATAATTTATGGACAATTGTGATTTCTGTGATTTCTTTTCATTCATATGTCATCACAAGGGATGTGTGGAGGTATATATGTGGATTTTCCTAGTTATTGTTGCTTGGTTTTTGAAATTGCAAAATTATATACTGTATCGATATTCAAGCACAAAAAGTCCGAAAGTAGAAATTCGATAAATTTAGCTACTAATTAAGACACGTTAGTTTAAAACAAGTTTTCAAGTGTCACAATTGGGAGAATTAGGGCGGACGACTTTTTATTTTATTTTGTTTTTGTTTTTCGCTTGTGATATAAAATATTCAGATTTTGAAAGACCGCTAAGAGTTTTTAAGCGCATCACTTACCATTCGTAGTTATCAACCACGCATGAACATCAAGTTCTAGAGCATCGAATTCTTTTTAGGAATCTCTTCTTGGGTTTCATTTGTTTTGAAGGGGTTTATTGTTATTGTTGTTGTTTTGTGCGTGATATCGTTCTTGGAATAGGGAAAAACTCGGTGAAACCTTATCGTTATCGATCTTACCTTAGACTACTGAATTTCATTGAATGTACTAAAGTTACATTATTGATTTTTGCCTAAAATCACGATTTAATGCAAATACTTATCAAATTTATGCGAGAATTCTTTGTCTTAAAATTTATATCATTTTTTGATTTATAGATTTTCAATTCAATTTCTGGAAGTATAAAACGAGCATAATTATCAAAATTATAAAATTTGTTAAAATTTAGCAAAATCTATTGAATATTTAGCAATTTTGCATAAATTTCAAAAACTTGGCATAGATTCCTAAAAATTTCACAAAAAAATTGGATAGTAAACCCGCTTCGATCAGTTGGCTTATGAACAGTTATAATAAACCTGCCTAGATAAACCGAATTTACTAAATAAACTAAATTTCTGACCACTTCTGGGGTTGACAGTGTAGTTTCTGATTAAAATCCACGAATTTCAGTAAATTAATAAATTAACTGTAAAACATAAAAAACACGTGTAAAGCATTTCATGATTTGCACCTAGGGCTGTTAATCGGTCCGTCGGTCTAAAGACCGTGGTTCCCAGACTGATGGGGACCGAACTTAAGAGGTACCGTAAAACACAAAAATATATCATAAAAATGGCATTAATATTTTCCCTCCCGAATCATTTCCGCATTATGTCGTCCGTCATAGCTTGTTCCAATGTGCTACGCTACTAAATAGAATCGGATATATCAAGTGATAACTCATACAAACGGTCTTTTAGTCTTTCTGACGAGGGCTGAACCATTCTGGTCTTAGGACGGATCGAAGGTCCAGAGTCAAGACCGAACCGACTTGTTCAGTAATCCTGGCGGTACAGCATCTATTGAAGAATTTATATTATTATTTATACCTATTAAAAATCTAACCATTTTGAGTTTTGCTCATTGAAATTCACACACTGCTACTTAATGATAAAATAAACAATTGCACCTATCGCTATGTTCAAATAACTAGTAAAAATCAACTGGAAATTCGAGACGTCATAAAACTCACAAGTCTATATGGTGTATGACACCTATAATCAAAACAAACTGTATTTTTTAAAGTTTTAATGAGGAAGTAACGATAGATTCAAAATCTAACGTTAATCTATGATTATAATTTCCTAAACTTTAAAACGATATTCATGCACCATATAAGCTGATGTTACCGGAAGTCAAAGAACTTTCTAACTTCTCAATTAGCCTCTCTCCGATGATATGAAGATACCTCTCAATTTGATAACTTAGTAAACCCTACTGATATCCAAATCCGTGCTTTCCAAAAGACATCTATGTTCTGTTCCAGAGCAGCGAGGCCGAAACCGCCTTCAGGCTCTTTAGTAAACTTCCGCGTCTATTTACAATAACACACCTTTACCCGAAGAATCTAAATATTCATATGTCTCGTTCTGGGACAGCAACATTCGATACTCTCTTGAATCTTCATTCCCGAAGGCATTTCTGTCTGAAACACCTCTCATAACATGAGCACCTTCAGCCAACGACTCGATTATGGTTTCATTCTCAATCAAGCTTGCCTGTTTAAAGGAGAGATGAAATTGCTTCTCAGCAACGAGATTATCTGATGACTTTTGAATACAAATTATAAAAAAGGGATAAATAATTTGTGTCTTTTTTTTTGTGAAGGGATTCAGAGTGTATAGTATTTAAATTTTGTCATTGATTGTTTATATACCCCCACTAAATTTCATTTTAATCTGCCACAATTATTTTCTCACATTGCAAATGGATAATCATATATCCATGTTATTATAGTTGCCGTTACTTATCGCGTTAATCAAATAATCGAATAATACGTAATAATCGGATATCCAAAAAATCGATTAAGGGTATAATGACCGATTCGGATCAGGTAAGCTTTCATAATGTACTACTAAAAATGGTACCGCAGCGCGTGTGATTATTACCTGGTAGCAACTTATAAATTTAAGTGGCGAGGTTGTGCCTACCAGTAACAAATAAGTGTCACATGGTTGCAACATCATCTTTATGTACTACATACTAAACGTGAGTTTGCGAGCCTTATATGACACTTGTTGCCATTTTCCGAGCACATGCCGAATGTCGCTAACATTGTGAGCTCGGATTTATATGGGAGCGTATCCTCCATGATCAATCTAAGCATGTTCGTCAGTCGCTTCAGAATGTGATCAGATGACGTGAATTACTCTAGTTCTGTCCGATTGTCAGATGAGTCGATGAACTTGCCTTCGAAATAATTTATATTCAGATGTTCATCATATTGCAGAGAGGGTATGTGCTGCAAACATTAAAAAGATCTTCACAGGTGCGGACTCCAAAGGACGTATTGAAAGCTCAAGAACATTACAATATGTTGGAAAAGAACAAGATACCAAATGTTAATCATCTCACCCATGCTGATAATGATAAGTCATCGGTGGTATATCTTGGGCCGAAAGGAATAAGTGTCAAGCTGTGAATCCAGAAGGAACTGCTTGAAGCTGTTGTCTGTCTGCTCGAGACATTTGTGGTAAGCATGGTGATAATAAGCATAGTGATAATTGCCAAACTCACGTTTGCTGAGCACTTATCATCTATAATGTTTGACGCAGGTTTTGCATGAAGTTTCTTTCTTCTATCGAGATATCCAGTGGTCTAACATTATTCGACTACCTGGTACGTCTAATGCACATTCTTAACGTGACGGTCCTCCGACCTGTGCGACAAAATATCTTGCAACAACAAATTACACTCCGGAAGTATTCCAGGGCAATCACACGGGGAAGTCGATATTTGGGGTAGTATTTCGGGCGAAACTAGATTAGGGTTTCGGTTAGCTTCGGACTTATAGGACGAAACGTTTCAGATTTTCAAAAATAGTTTCGCCCGAAATACTAGTGTGAGAAACTAATAACAAATGGATCACTGGTCCTCAATTAAGAGATAAGATTACTATTCAATATGCTTTGGATCACAAAATATTTCCGTAAAAGCATAGAATAAATATTTTATAGGAATAACATGTATTTGGATTGCACTCCACAATTTTGTATCCACTATTTATAATACGAATACCCTCTTATAATATACTTAAAATATATAATATAGCTATTACTAAAGCTCTATTCAGATCAGATCAGATCAGATTTGAGAACAATCTGACCGGTTCAGATCAACATGAAATCTGATCTGATCTGAAAAGTTTCAGATCAGATCAATCTGAAACTTTTCTAATTAACTAAAATAATATAATATTTATTTATTATATATCTTATTATACATATTAAATTGTGAGAAGATAATATTATTGAAAAATGTTGTTATTCGAATTGAAGATTAGTATGAACTCGGAAGAAAAGCAAAATGCATAAACTCTCTTTCATAAATCATCTTATAAAGAAAAATTATTAAATTAAAGTATCTATTACACTACTTAATAATAAAAAAACAAAGAAATCAAAATAATCCTAAAATCAAGAATATTATTAAAGATCAAAATTTTATTATAATATTATTCTATTTCATTTTCATTATTTATTTTTTACTAACTCTTTAAACACATGTATTGTTACTATTAGTAATTTTTACGGATAAAGATCTTTACTATACAATAGGTAGAGATGTTAAAAAGCTCTGCTGAATCAGCCTTTGAATTAACTCAGACCAAACTTTTTTGTGTTCAACTTTGGATTTGGAGAGACCAAAAAACTGAGTCTCAGTGATCATGTAATTATTAAAACTTGGAATTTGTTCTTATTCATTCAGTTCCTAATAAAAATGTGTTAATTTTCTTGTATATAATCTCAATAAAATAATGGTATAGCTTAATATTTCAAGCTAATAACAAAATACCAGTGTGACTAAGTTGGTATTTTTTGTTTCAGCTAGTCAGCTCAAGTAACAATCATGTAAATTTCTTTATTTAAAATATATTTTATTATTATGCATTTGTAAAAATAGAAAAATATGATTATTTGATTATAAGAATAATATTATTAGTTAGTTATTATATTCATTGTATTATTTCATTATCATCATTAATAAAGATAGTTTTAGATTTTTAATTTACTAGAAAAAAATATGTGAATAGTTTTTGATTTAACTATTATCAATATTGATATATTATAATACATAAATTAAATTATAATATAATTTGAATTATAATGATAACAATAAATAGCTTTTTATAATGAAAATAATAAGCTTACTAATTTAATAATTTTTCAGAGATTGACTTGTATTGCATCAAAGAAATTAGTTCAACTGAATCAGCTAGCTAATTATGTATTAGCACATCTTAGTTAGTTTAAATAATTTAAATTGAATAAAAATACTACTATTTGATTTGTCTTAAATGAATCAAATAATAATATTTTTGTTCAATTCAGATCACTGGATATTAAGAATTAGATTCTTAGATATTGAGATATATGTTATAAAATGATGAATTGTATTTGGAATGTAAAAGCTTATGTCTGATATAGAAGTTTCACCATACTAATTTATTAAATGTACAAGTGATCAGATGTCATATTGCATTTAATATTCAGAAAATTTGAATGATCATTATGATAGAGATAGAATAATTTTGATTAATCAATTAAATAAATTCGATTAATCAATTTTTAATTTAAAAATCAATTTTCAAGTTCTATTAAACAATTATTTAATCAATTTCATTTGTATATAATTGATTTTTTCACATCTGAAAATAAATATTTAAATAGCAAGAATTGTCAAATATTTGCATACAAGTTGTGAAAGAATTGTATATAGAAATAGAAATCAATTTTCAATCAAAAATCAATTCTTGAGCACAAAGCATGATGATGACAATGACAACAATAATAATAATAATGATAATATTATAACTAGTCTTTAATTTGGCATGCTGAGTTTTTTTCTTTTTATTTGAATAGTTGAAGTTGTACTTTAATTAGTTAAAATTATAATTTGATTAGTTGAATTCATAAAGATACTACATGATATAAAAGCAATTGAAGTATTATCATCAGATTGAAATTTTGCTCAATATCACTATCAGAATTATTAAACTTTATATTAATAATAATTTCTTGATTTAACTTTTTTTTGAATAACAGAGTATTGTCGCCGTTTTACTTGGGTTTCAAATATATTATATCTTCTTACGTGCTCAACACGTGTTTCAAGTCAGGTGGGAGAGATAAGAT